CCAAATCCCAAATGATAGACACATCCCCGCTCCGCCCCGGCAGTTTCCTGGCGGTGGGCGTTTGGTCCAGCGATGAAGGCCCTGCCTGTGCTGCCACTGCTGGGTGTTGTCTGGGCTTCATCCCCAGCGACCCGTGCTCTCGCTTCCTAGGAGGGGCAGGAGATGCCTCGAGCACCTGGAGCCCAATTCTCTGAAAGAAGTAAAGATTTTGAGAGAAAGAAATGAAACCCGAATGAATATCTCTGAGCATGGATGTTTGACCTCTCTGCTGGGTGTGGGTTTCTCTGCCGGGTGGCGGCGATGGCACGGGCTTCAGAGCTCCTGGCTGCCCGAATTGGACAGTGAACTGTCTCACTTGCTCTCCGCGTGACTTAGAGCCTCTCGCGTCTTCATCTGGAAAATGGGGTGACAGCAGTGCCTGCCTCACAGTGCTGTCCTGAGGACAGAGTGAAGGAGCACTCACATGATGGCGGTGACTCCGGGGACGTCATGAGCAGGCAAACCTTATTTTCGTCTTCTGCGGTCTGTAAAAAATTTCTTCTTGGGGACTGGATGTCCTCTCCCTCCCACTCTCCCTCCCACTCCCCCACCCACTCCCCGAAGTGAGATGAAGTTTACAGTAAGCCCCATGGCCTCTCAGGCTTTTTTCAAGTATCCAAAGATGGCGTTGGCATCCCGTGTGTTAAACCTCACAGGTCCCCCAGCCCACCTGGCACAGCAGGCCCATCCCCGGCGGGAGAGGACCCAGCTTACAGGTGCCAGGTCTGCCCCTTACCCAGGAGGAGGGGAGACAAGCCCCCTGGCTGACCACTGTGAGCTGCTGGGCTTTTCTGTGGCCCCCTCTCCCCGTGGGGTGCTTCTGTAGCTTTTTTCACTGGGGACCCTTGATGTTGGAGCTGCTTGTCGCTAAGCTCCTCCTGGGACTCCTTTCTCAGGCCCCCAGGAAACTTGACCTCTGTTGGTGGGATCTGTGACGGTCACGTCTGGTTCTCAAATGCAGACCTATGTGGGTCTGCAGCAAACACGCTGCTTCCAGAAGCGGGAAGCCCAGGCCACTCCTGGCAGCATCCTCTCTGCCATCGGAGAGCTGCCACCCATCCACTTTGGCTGTTCTTAGCAGGCTCTCCAGGGGGCCACCTCCATCAGGCTCCACTGAGGTACCGGCAGCAGCACCTTCCCCCAACCTACTGATTAGGACAAGTGGACTCTCAGGCTCTCCCTAGAGTCCCTGTGCTTGTCCCCAGCCTCGCGTGACTCCTGTGTGCTGGCCCTGGCACAGACCCAGGCTTTCACCAGGCTTAGCCAAGAGGCAGCTCCCGCTACACTTGGGACGCCCCTTGCTTAGCCTCTGTGCTGGGCGCTTCCGCTGCAGCCCAGGCCAGCTGGCTTCCGTCCCGTCCCCTGCCTCCTCGGAGGCACCTGTGTGCAGTAGAGCGTGTGAGCCCTGCAGAGAGGGTGGCCCACGTGCTCCTTGGGCACCTCTGCTGGGTGCCCGTGTCCCCGACTCTGACTTTGTACAGAAACGGTCTGCGTCCTGTGGACTGTGCTACTGCGTGTATTGAGATGATTTGCTATTCAGTGGTGATTTGAAACAAAATACTATTTTTTTATTGTACCGTTGCTTTTAAGATGTGTGCAAGTCTGCTGCTCGCACCGTGGATAATGGCGCGGTGGTCTGTGTGGCTTCTGCAGTTACTTGAGCAGGAATGGCAGCAGGTGCCGCCTGGCCCCTCGCTCCTCAGCTCCCATCTTGCGGCACGGTTTCACAGCTTTGACAGGGCACTGGGGCTGCGTTGGGACCTGGAGTCCTCAGGGACCTAGGCGTTGTCACTACCAATCGCCCTGCCTTCCTCCCAAAAGACTCTGTTTGCTTCCCAATTCTCTCTCCCTAACCGTTACATCCAGGTGGGCTGTTCTTGACTTGAAGCCCTGCGGTGGTTCCCCATTGGCTATCGGATAAAATCCAAATTCTATTACTGGTATTCAGGATGACAGTTTATTTTTGGTGCAAAATTAAAAAAAAAAAATACATGCAGAGGTTATTTTCATCATGTGCATTTCCATCAGCTTTCCCAAGTGCCCCGGTTATGTCCGTACTTCTCCGGGCTTATCCCCTGCCGCGCCAGTACATGCGGCCACGCTGCTCTGTGTGCACCTTGATTTTCAAGCTCCTTGCTCACCTGCTGTCATCTCCATGACAGGAGCTCAGCACCTGGCGAACCGCAGAAAGCCAGTGAATGGTTCCTGCTTCCTCTCTTATCAGTCTGCCAGAATCCTTCCTTTTTCAAGGCCCGGCTCAGCTGCCACCTTTTTCTCTTGTTCGGGAAAGGTTTGTCCTGGCCTGACCTTCCTGGTTGCCTTTCCAGTGACTGTCCCTTGCCACTGCATCCTCTGCCCCTCGCATTTTGTGCCTCTGTGTTGTGCCACCCCCACTTTGATGCTGGGTACATCCATGACTTCCTTCTGTCCCCCTGCCAGGCAGAACACGGGCTGCCCCAGTGCCTGTCAGAGTCTAACCTTTGGGCTCAGCAGGGCCAAGTTGCTGTTAGGTTTAAATCACCTGCCTCGGACTTCAGGGTCATGGTGCCAAACCACCAGATCCCTTTGCTGCCAAAATTGACTAGAGCTGGCCCCCAGTCAACCAGATGAGTCCACAAAGCCTAGAGAGCATGAGACCCCTGCCCCCAAAGAAACCCTAAGGGGCTGGCACAGGGGCCCTCAAGCTGGGGTAATGGCTGTGATACCCTCCCAGGGAGGGGCACCGTGTATTAATCCCCATACATTCCTTTCCTCCTCCTCAAATCCTCACTATGTTGCAAAGTGCCTGAAATGCACTGAGGAGAATTTAAATTCATAGCAGGTGCAGCAGCTTTGCAGGATTTGGACAGGTGGTGAGGGGAGCTGTGGCGAGTCAGTGCTTTGCTGGAGACAGCCTTGCTCCTGGGGCTCAATTACCTGGGGAGGCCGAGGCCCGCCCCTCCACCTTGCTGGGGAGCACAGTTGGGAACATCCGGTTTTCAGCCTGTGATATTCTGCACAGGGCTTGGAGGAGTGCCTTTGGGTGATGGGAGCCAAGGACCTCCACTGAAAATGTCAGCGGTATCATTCAGACAGGGAAATGTGTTGCAGGCTTTGAGCTGTAGCTGAGTACCCAGGCACCCGTTACAAGCACACACTTCCTCTCCTTGCACATGCATGTGCACATGTGTACCAGCTCCCCTGTGCCCCATGGAGCACACACACAAGACCTCTGCAGGCATGACATGAACAGAGCTGCCTTGTTCCCGCACCTCACTCTGCCTCCAGATTCCATTCCCTGAGGACAGAGCCTGAAGTGTCTGTTTAATAGATTCAATTAAGGCAGGCTCCCGAGACCTTCGACTTAATTCTGATTGCTGTAAGGTGTCAGATAATTTGGGACTAAAGGAGGCAAACAGCCTCGGGTTCTTGCAGGGGAGGTCCTCCCAGGCCCTGGTTGTCTCTGAAGCGGCAGCTGCTGACTAACCCTGAAGGCAGGGGCTGGGGTGCTGGGCGGGGCTGTGTCCCTGCCAGAGCGTCTGGCCTGTAGCTTACAGACAGGGTTCTGCCCTGGAGAGCCAGGGCCTCTGGGGAGGTGAGCTGTGCCCAGTCACGGCCTCCCAGGCAGGCACAATCGCTGGAGGCTGATGGAGGATGCAGATGTGGCTAGGGTTGGGGGGGGGGGGAGGTGCGGGGGAGAGAATGGCAGGAAGGAGGTAAGTCTGAGAGGTGTGGATGCCAGCTAGATCACCAACCCTACCAACCCGCTGTGTGACTGTGGGCAAGCTTCCAGAGCTCCCTGTGCTTTGGTTTCCCATAAGACAAGCATGACAACAGCACCCACCGGCTTGGGTGGCTGTGGGGGTCGGCCGGAGTGATGATGTTGGGTAGCTGGTGGTCCCTCTGTGAGCTCCGCCTGTCTCAGTCGCTGTACCTCACAGTTGACAGGAAAGATAGCCAGGCTGGAAAGCTGAGATTCCAGGCTGGGGTCTGGCCTGGCCCCCAGGGCAGCAGGCTGGGACCCTCCCAGCCCATCCAGCCTGTTCCACACTTGCTCTGTCCAACCAGTTCAGTGCAGGAGAATCCACGCTCGTGCCATGGGCCAGTGCTGCTGGGTTCCCGGTGCAGATGAGGACAGCTCCGCTTTGAACATTGTGAGGCCCGGGCCGCCCTGCTCCGTCTGCACTGGTCCCTGACTAACCCCTGCACCTGCTGCCCAGCTCAGCCAGTCCCCCGACCCCCTGCACCCACCTGCCCTGCTCAGCCCCTCCACCCTCCTCTGCACGGCCACCTCCTGGGCACACAGGTTCACTGCAGAGCCCAGAGAGATCTGGAGAACGAGGAGATGCTGGCCCAATCTGTTGCTTGGCTTCCAGGCCTTCACCATCTGAGCGTTCAGGGACTTTATTCTCTGGGAAGTGGGAAGAAAATATTGGCCTCCTGAGGCTATTCTGGGGGTAAATAGCATGACAGGGTGAGGTTCAAGGAGGTGCCACAGGCGGTAGCTGCAGCAGTCCAGTGGCACAGTGCGGACAGGCCAGGCCCAGGCTGGCCCAGGGTGGGCTGAGGGCTCCACGTCACTGGCTGTCAGCCCTGACCAGAGCTAAGTAAGCCAGGTAGGGTGGGTGCTCGAGTCATTCCCGTTTCATGGAGGAACAAACTGAGGTTTGGAGGCCTGGCGAGCCCCTGAGTGGCTGGCTGGTAGGGAAAGGGGACGCCAGCTTCTGTCACTGGTGCTGTGACTCCCCAAACGAATTTGGGGGTATAGGGAGGGGGGCACGTGGGCGGTTCCAGGAGGGCCTGGGGGTGGGGTCTCTGCGGCCCGGGGCGGGGCGAGGGAGGAGCGTGGCCCCCGCCATCGCCGCTGCAGCTGTCGGCGGGGCTGTGCGGTGCTCGGGCCCCAGCGCCGGCAGAAGGGGCGCCGAGCAGCTTCGCCCGCCTCCCCGCGCGCTCCCGCCCGCCCGCTGCGGGCCCGCGCACTCCCGCCGCCGCGTCCTTCGCGCCGAGCCGCGCAGCAGCCGCTCGCCGAGCCCGCGGCTGGGGGCCCTGGCGTGCAGCACGGGCCTCGGCGGGGCCCAGAGCCCCGGCCCAAGAGGATGCGGCCCGTGGTGGCCCGGGAGCTGAGCAGGGCCCCCCGCGCTGGCTCCCAGGGGTTCAGGCCTCCAGCGCTGCCGCTGCCGCCGCCCCGCCCCCGGGAGACATGACTTCCAAGCCGCATTCCGACTGGATTCCCTACAGGTACGCGGGCATCAGCCTTCCATTCCTCCGCTTCAGGGTGCCATGTGTGCGGCCTGCCACCCTCTGTTGCTTAGGGTGTGGGGCAGGGTCGAGGGTACCCGACTCCCTGCGTAGGGCTAGCCGGTAACACATCTGCGCGCCCCATCTGCCTTAACATTAGGGATGCCGGTTGGAGACACAGACTGTCCTATGCTAACTTCGGGGGTCCGGGAACCCTCTTGCTACAAGCGCCAGCTCCCTATCTGGTAGGGTTACTAGAGGGTCCTGTGTGGACCTGGCTGGGTCTAGCAGCAGCCTGTGGCTGCATGGGGAGGGGAGTGCACCATGACACAAGTCGCCTCCTAGGCCCAGCACGCTGCACACACCCGGAGCTGTACATCGGCACGCGCGCACCCACTGGCGTCTGCGCATTGGGCTAGCCCTTGCCGCTGGGTTCACACCCTCAGAGCTTGAATCCCGGGTGACAGTTACAATGAATGGACAGCCCATGGCTGTTTGGCTTCCAAGATGCAGGCATTGCCCCCGGCCATCTCGCATGTGAGCCCTTAGCTTCCTGCAGTCAGGAGCCTGCCTGGCTACACAGCATCCTATTCGTGCAGGATACTGCCGGCTCACAGCGCTCTCCCGTGTTTCTTAGAGACTCACTCATCTACTTGTTAGAGCAGCTCACACTGCCACTGCGGGGCTGCCCCCACGAAGCACACCCAGAGAAGGCCACCTGCTCTGTCCTGGGAAGGGCTTGGCTCCTCCTCCCGGTTGTGGGAGGGGCCGGAGGGTGACTCTTGCAGGTGCAGGCCTTTCCCCATCCACTCTGTTCTCTCTAATAGCAGGGAAAGGAGCTCATTGCCATGGCAGCGCCAGATCCTGGGCCTTCATTGGCTCCTTGGTTGCCATGGGCTACAAGGCTGTCTGTGGGGAGGGTGCTGGACTACTGCGGCCCTCCAAGTTACTGCTGACTGCTGCACGTGCCATTGGGTGTAGGGCCAGGCCCTGAGCACCCTCTGGTCATGCAGCCCTCTCTTGGGAAAAAGCCTGGTTCCAGGCACTGACAAATAATAATTGTGACAGAGCTCTCCCAGCAGTCTGTCCAAACAGCATCCAAACCAAAGGCAGCTGCTGCCACCCGAGGCTGGTTAACGGCGCCTGGCCGGATCTGGGAGTTGAGGGTTGCTCTAGAGTTGTTATTTCCTTGGACCGTGTTTCCTAATGAGGCGTCCCGGCTTCCCAGGGGATGCTGTGTCCCTCACCTTGGTGTGTGCAGTCACATGATTAGAGAGAAGTCCCTGTCGGGGCACCAAGGCTGTGCTGATGCAGAAGACACACATCCGGGGTGGGGGGGCACAGGTAATTTCTGGAACATCCTGGCCTTTTTTGGCCTCTGTTGGCTGGGGATCTTCTGGAAGACCGCAGGATCAGCCCCCTTGCCTAGTGGCCCTGCAGACTGGGGGAACTCCGGTGACCCGGGAACACCTGCATCGGGTCGCAGGGTCAAGGTGGCAGCGCAGGCTGAGGCAGGTGGAACGGGCAGCACTGCTGGCTGTGGAGGTGAGGGCAAAGTGGAGGCTTTGCCAGGAAGCCTCTCCCAGGGCACCAAGGCCTGAGGCAACTTGAGCAGCGAGTGCCTGCGTCTCAAGAGAAAACAGGCCTCACACTGGAAGAGGGGTGCCCCGGAAGGTAGGTTTGTTTCTGGGAGATGACTCTGTCTCCCAGCAGGGAATGGTTTCGCACTTGCTGCAGCCCAGGCCCGACTGTGGCTTCTCCCCACGTGGAGCCTGGAAGCCCTGAGCCGGCTCCGGTGATGTGTGAGCCCGATGAGCAGGTGGCACCTTGCGCCCCTGCCCTGCCCTGCTTGCTGTCCCCATCCCCGTGTCATCTTGCCTTGCTCATTGCTGTAAGGAGGGCACAGGTCTGCCTGGGGCCCGGCTGTGCTGGCACCTTTCTGAGTATGCACTGATCTTGGCGGGGGGGGGGGGGCGGGTAGGGGATTCTGGAATTGGGGTGTAGCCGTATACAACAAGAAGCATGGGCAGAGACAAGGACTTGGGGAGCCCTCTTGTGTTGGTGGGGCTGCTCGTCACAAGCAAAGCCAGGGCCCTGTCTGATCCCAGAGGAAACTGGGACAGAGGACAGAAGGTGCCTTTTCCTTGCAAGTGGCGGGGCTGGCGGGGATGAGGCGCAGCATGCATGCTCATGCTTGGCCTGGGGTGAGGCTTCCCTGGAGTCATGAGCCCTAAAGGATGGTGTTGGGTTTGGGGGCTGAGAGGGCCACCTCACTTCCTGGTGGCTCTGCTGGTGGCATTGTGATCCATTTACATGTGGCAACTTGCATTGTCTGTAGCCAGGCAATTTTCTTGGAAGAAGTGATAGTTTGTAATCTTTTTATGGGTAATATAGTTCCATTTATAATAATCAGGGGCTAACCATTTAGTTTAGCAGACTAACGGAGACCTTCATCTGTCAGTTTACTCCCCATGTGGCCACAACAGCTGGGCCTGTCCAAAACCAGGAACTAGGAGCTGCTTCTTTGTCTCCCTTATGGGAGCCGGGGCCCAAGATCTCAGGCCGTCTTTTGCTGCTTTCCCAGGTGCATTAGCAGGGTGCTGGGTCCAAAGTGAAGCAGCCAGGACTTGAACCTGCATCCGTGTGATTGCTGGCACTGCAGGCAGTTTGTTACCTGGATTCTTGAATGGCATTAGGTGCTCCTGGCGCACGGTTTTACAATCATCTAGTAGCGTTTGAAGGTGGAGGTGGAGCTGGGAAAGTCGGGAAGGACGAAGTTCACAGGTCGTATGGGAAGATCGCAGCGGCCAGCCCTGTCGTTGGTAGGAAGGAGGCCTAACAGAAGAAGAGAGGTTTCCATCATGTTGGTTCAAGTTCCTGCAGCAAGGCCAGGCTGCACCTTGCTGAAGCCAGCAGCCTGTAGCTGCATCCATGACTCCAGGCCAGTGGCAGGGCCCATGCGGGGGGAATCACCTGCTGCCTGCCAGGGGTGTTAGCCTGTAGCCGGACAGGGAAAAGAATAGCCGGGATTTGAACATGCACCCCTGTGTGGGATGTACTCTTCCCCAGCAGCAGCTTAACATGCTGTATCTGCTCGTTCCTGACAGCTCATCAAGTCCTTGAGAGCAGGGTCCTGTTCTGATTTCCGCTGTGTCCTCTTCATGACCCAGCACAGACAAGACAGCCGCTTCTTAAACTATGGTAGCATCCCCAGATGGCCTTTAACACTTCCACAGCCCTCCCAGCTGGCATAGCCTTCTCGGGACAGTGTGAGACCTCTCACGGGGTAGCCATTCTGGGGCACCTCGGGCCAGCGCCTCCCGCCAGCTGCCTGTAGCTGCCTGGAAGCTCTGCCTTGGGTTGAGCCTCGGCGTGCGTACCCCCGGTGCCTGTTTGGGTCCTCCTGCCTCTTCCTTACTTGATTTTTCCGGACAGTAGTTGACCTCAGATGCTGCAGCAAGGACCTCCAGCCTTCCAGCAGTGCCTAGGTCCCTTGGTCTTTGTGGCCCGTGGCGGCTGAGCGTTGGACTCTGTGCTGGCAGTGGTTTTATAAGAGAGCGAGCCAGGCCAGTGCGATTCTGGGCCAGGCTCCCAGCAGCTGTGAATCACCAGGTCAGGTGCTGAGCACCTGCTCAGCGTGGGAACCACTGTCTGGGACTGGGAAGGCCTGTCCAGAGTGCCTGGAGCCCCCGTGGGCAGCATGCTCTTGCTGCCTCTGTCCCCACAGGAGCATTGCTGGGTGGGGGGGGAGCCCTGGATCTGGACCAGCTAGGGGCCTGGCAGCGGGGGCATTAGTGTGCCGCATTAGTTGGCGTTACGGTGGAGTGGAAAGAGAGGAGGAAGGAGGCAGACAGCGTCCCTGAATGTGCTGGCTGTGCCTGACCTTTCCGGTCCACAGGAGACGCGTCCCTGCAACTCATTTGTTCATTGTGCTTTACTCCCCGGGTACCTGTTGAGTACCTTCAAGAAAGCAAATGGATAGCAGGACTAGTTCCCCCAGGCGTGCCTCCTGGGCCCTGGGCAGAGCGACGGGATGGCAGAGCTGGTGCCGTAGTGGGCCTCCCTGGTCTGGTCCCCAACAAGAGGTGACTGCAGCGAGGAGCCGCCTGGGTTGGCTGGGAGGCCCATCCATCAGCATGGCCTGTCTCCTGGCGGGGCTGCAGCTGGCAGGCTGGACTTGGCAGGGATTCCATAATTGGAGGCAAAGTCATTAAAAAGCCATTATGGTCTCCTTGCTTAGTTATCATTGAGTGCAGCCTAGACTAGTGCCCATGAGAAGGAGGCTGCCTGGGGGAAGTGTTGGTGACAAAGGGAGCACTCGGCGGAGATGAGCAGGCAGGGCCATGTGGAGGGAGGTGGGGAGGCAGCGGCCACCAGGCAAAGTGAGAGGACTCAGGCTGGGCACTCCCTGAAGCTGCCGTCCTCGCTGTGCTCGCCCTCCGTGGCAGCTGCTGTCCACTGAGGCTTCTTTGCTATCTCAGGGGAGCAGTGTTGAGTGTGCAGGTGCCTCGTCTACAGCCAGAAGCCCCGACCTAGCATAGCCGGGCACTTCCAGGTGCTCTGTGCCCTTGCAGGTGCCTCCCTAGAAAAACACCCACCCTCACGGCCCCTTACTCCAGCAGGCGGGTCCTAGCTCCCCTTGGTGGGCCTTACTCAGCAGGTGCACTGTCAACCCCCCACAGCGTGCTCTTACCCTCTAAGGTGAATGAGGTGACAGGCGGCTCTGTGGACCTAGACCGGCATCCATGCTCCCTGGAATTGCTTCTCGGATGCTCAGCCCTTGCTGTCAGCCATCCTGCACCACAGACTGGTGGCAAAGACCTTCCCACCCATAGTCTGACCTGGCCAACATTGTTTCCAAAGCCAGGGGCGGCTTCCCCTTCTCCCTCATCAGGGCTGCAGGCTGCCATGGAAGAGGAAGTCATGTTGCCAGAGAAAGCAGAGCCTCCGCCCACTTTGCTCCTAGCATAGAACCTGGCCACGGTAGGAGACACCCGGTGTATGGATAGAGGAGCGGGAACTGCGTTGGGTGGACAGGGCATTCCTGCAGGCACCCTGGCTGCCAAGAGCCTGGCTTCTCAGCCTTTGCAAATGCCTTGAGGTGTTTTTCATCAGCCCCTCAGCAAGCAGCTGCTCTGGGCTGCTCGACCAGGCCCAGAGACGGATGCCCTGGCTGCCCACCCGGCTCCCAGCACTGCCCTCTGAGAGTGTGAGTGGCTTGTGACTTCCCAGGAAACTGTGCAGCAGCTTCTTCCTGTGGCATGGGGGAAAGCTGATATGGTTCTGAGGTAGAGGTCATTTCAGGGTGCATGGCACACCAGGCACCAGCACATGACCTAGGGTTCCTGGGCCCAGAGTTGTGGTACAGAGTCCAGACTGCGTGACCAAGCTTCTCGTAGAAGCGGTGAGGGAGCGGGTCTTGCTCACCCGGCTGAGCATGCGCCGTGTGTGCCTGATCCTGGGAGGCCAAGGAGATGGCGCCAGTGTGGCCTCTCCAGTCCCACCACGCTCTGCTTGTTGCGCTGAGCCCAGGACCAGCTCGCATGGGCGGCTGGGAGGAAAGAGGCCTGGATGTGTGGTCTGTCAGGCAGCATTTTCTCCCGTGTTCTGGCAGCTGAGGGTTCAGTAAATGCGACTGTTGTGCACACAACCCCAGGTCCCAGGACGGGCCCCAGGGTCTGGGAGAGGGCTTCCCCTGAGGTCAGGTGTGCCAGACAGCTGTCACTTAAAAATATTGTGGTCCTTGGGATTGTGGCTGGGGCAGCCTGCAAGCTGTGGGCTTCGGCAGGCTGCATTGGATGTGCACATCATTTAAGGGACATGTGGGTCAGAGACTGCCCAGCTGGGAAAGGCTGGACGTGGAAGAGGAGGTGGCAGTGGCTGACTTGTCCACGGAGGGATCTGATCTGCGCACAGGGGTGTTACTGGCACAGGGCACACCCGCTTTTCACAGATGTCTCCATGCAGGGGTGCACCCAAGCAGAGATGCATGCGTCCTTGCAACCTTCCACCTCCCTCCTGTGCCTAACTGGGCTTGGGGTGCCCACCCAGTCTAGTCCAGACCAGACTCCATGGTGGTCCCAGGCTCCATCTGCCTCCCTTGCAGCTGCCCTGCCCTTGGCTTTTCTAGAACTCAGACACAGCTCTCACGAGCGAGAGCACCAAGTGGTTTGCGTTTGCAGCTGCCTCCTAACGCTCTGCCCTGCGGGGAGGCAGGCTGGCTGACATGTGGCACCTGTCCCGAGGCTTGGCGGGCGGTGTCCTCTGGTTTGGTGTTCTCACTAATGCCTGTGCCATGTCTGTGGCCAGACCGGGGCCTCGTGGCTGTTGCTGGCATGGGTGTGTGTGTGGCCTGCCCTGCCTGAGGAGGCCCCCCTGTCCTATGTAGTCTGAGCACCCCACAGACCCACAGTGCCGCCCACTTGTAGAGCTGGGAGCTTGCTTTGAAAGGTTGGGGAGGAAGGACAGGCCGGCGCCAGCTGAGGGAGATGGAGAGAGCATCCTTGGGCCCGACTCGGTTAGGGCTGTACCGGCTCAGGCTCCCGAGGGCAGACTCAGGGTGGTCTTAGAGGCGCCTGGAATCGTAGCAGGAGACAAGCTCCCCAAAGGACAGATGGGTGGTACGGGCCCTTCTGTCTGAACTGGAGTCCCAGATGGCAGCCCCCACCCTTCCCCTCTCCACCTGTGCACCTTGAGCCCCAGGAGCCCCGTGGGGGTGGGGTGTACGGGACTGGGAAGTGCTGTGGCGGGCATGGGGGGCAGGCCCTGAGTGCCCCACTCTCCCTCCGCAGCGTCTTAGATGATGAGGGAAGCAACCTGCGGCAGCAGAAGCTGGAGCGGCAGGTGAGTGAGTCCGCAGCCTGGCGCGTGGCAGTGTGGGCCGGTCTCTAGGGCAGGGGTGGAGAGGGCTGGGGACTGACCCGCTCCCTTAGAAGGGGGTCACAGTTGGCAGAAGAGAGGGGCAACAGCTCAGCATTAACCTGCCCCTGCCGGCATGCCAGGAGTACTGTGAGCCCACTCAGGCACGGGGGGGGGCCTTGGCCACCGGTGGGTTGTGGATCCCCATGGGGCCTGGAGCACCCAGCCCAGGCGGCAGGGCACCCCTCCCTCCCAGCAGAGGTGTGGGCCAGCCCCACCCTGGTGCTTGCCTGTTCTGTGTGCAGCGGGCCCTGCTGGAGCAGAAGCAGAAGAAGAAGCGCCAGGAGCCCCTGATGGTGCAGGCCAACGCAGACGGCCGGCCCCGGGGCCGGCGGGCCCGGCAGTCGGAGGAGCAGGCGCCCCTGGTGGAGTGCTACCTCAGCAGCAGCGGCAGCACCAGCTACCAAGGTACTCCCTGCCAGTCGTCTGCCAGTCATCCACTCCCCCCGCCCCCGCGCTCTCAGCCTGCCTGGCTTCTGCTGGTCTGGTCCACCCCCCTTCCCGGAGCTGCAGTGCCCAGCAGCCTCCAGCCCGCCCCGCTGGCCCAGCCTTGTGCGGCCCAGTCTCAGCACAGCCTGCCCTGGGCAGGGAGGAGGCCTCTGGCATCCCTGAGTCACCCAGGTCAGATCCAGGCTTCCTCTTGGCTTTGCCACCACTGCCCCCTGCTGGAAGCATGGTGGCTGACAGCTCCTTGTGGGACACAAGCAGGATCTGGCCTTGGCTGTTGGGAAGGCCTGTTCCGCTGTCATCCCGCCCTCCTGTGGCTCTGTGGTGACACTGCAGCGCTGGTCCCTGCCTTTCTGCTCTGCTGGCCTTCAACAGCTCCACCCACCCCACAGGGTGTCACGCTCTTGTCTGCGTCCTGCTGGCCCCGCCTTCCTCTCATGGGACCCCCCTTACCCTTGACTTGGGGGACAGCAGTGGGCTCCTTCACTGTGCACTTAGAGAGCCCGCTTCTCTCCACCACTCAGCTGCCATGCACACTGCCAGCTGCTGTACCTGTGTCAGCTCATCCTTAGGGGGCTCTGGGAGGACCTGGTCTTGGAGAGCTTTGACTGCTTTGCCATGCTTGTGTGGGCCTTGGAGACCAGCCCAAATCCCTGGGGATAGTTCCCGTGTGCACCTGTGACCCCACACCTGGAGCCAGGCTAGAATGTCCCCATGAGAGACCTTCAGCAGCTGCAGCAGGCACTCCCAGCTGTGCCTCTCAGAACTGTTCCTGGCCCCACCCCTGTCCTGGCAGCTGCCTTGTGCACCCCACCTGGGTGCCCTGCTGCTAGGGAGAAGGCAGCGCACTGCAGGGAAGGCAGCTGCCGTCCTGGCATGTGTGTCACGCACACCAGCCGTGTGCCTGGATGCTGTGGTGAGCCTGGCTTCACCCCTGCCTGCTGCTGCATCTGTGGACTGGGGGTACCTCCCCCATCAGTGGAGCCAGCTGCAGTCTCGGGGTTCTAGAAATGAAAGGAGCCTCCATCCAGACGTGTTCCAGGGTCAGTAATCAGCAGGTTGTTGTTCAGCAGGTTAGCTGGCCCTGTATGTCCACAGCCTGCCCGCCCGTCAACCTGGCCCCTGTGGGGGGACTGGCTCGGGCAGGTCTGGGGGGTTGCCAGGAAGTGTGGCCTGGGACCTCGACCCCACCTTGCCCTAAGTTCCTTCCATCCTGACTCCTCACGGGGCTCACTGCCTCCTGCCCAGGGGGAGGCTGCTGCACGCTGCCAGCCACCTGGATCCCCTCCCTGGCAGTGCTCACTGCTTCTTGCCTGCCCTCTAGTGGCTGCTGGGGTTAGGTACAGGCAGGGGACATCATTCACAAGCCTGTTTTGCAGCTCTGCATGAGTATTTGATCAGCAACTGCCTTGTGTCAGGCACTGCACGGAGGCTCTGGGTCCCTGGAGAACACCGATGGGCATGGACTCCGCCTTCCTGGCCCTCATGGACAGAAGGGGAAGGGTCAGATCGATGGTCCCACCTGCACTGCAGGAAGTCCAGCAGGCCTGCAGCGCCTGCCCCTGACTACGGAGGGAGGGCAGGCCAGGAGACTGTGGCCAGAGGGGCTGCAGTCCAGGCCCAGCATGGTCAGAGCTCTCTGCTGTGGGGGCACGGAGTTAGGTCCAAGCGGAGCGGCCCAGCGGGCAGGGGGATGCTGACCTTCTTCTGAAGAGCCTTAAGGACCCTCTCCAGGGTGGTGAGAGGCCCAGGCTAGGTGCCATGGGGCATCTCTGGAGCCTCCTGGAGTGCTGAACATGGAGCCTTCACTATGCCCCTCCACCATCTTCCCCAGCCCAGGCTCCAACACCGAGTGCGCTGTCTGACCCGGGTTGTGGCCCAGCTGTCCAGCCTTTTGCCACTGTGTAGACCTCAGATGCCGGTTCCTCCAGCATGGCCCGCCTGCGGGCTGTGCCTCCAGGGAGGGAGTTTGGGGACTGCAGAGCCTTGAGTTAGGAGTGCAAGTCCTGGTGTCACCCAGCAGTCCTTTCTCTCTTTGCATGCATCTCCCCTGCTCAGTTCAAGAGGTCGACTCACTCAGCAGTGCGCAGCTGGGAGCCGCCCACCCACCAGCACCAGCCTCAGCCAAGCGAACCAAGGCGGTGACTGCGCCAGGGAGCCAGGGTGGGGCCTCCAGGAAGGAGAAGAAAGGGAAGCACAAAGGTTAGCTGGCCCTTTCTGTCCGCAGTCTGCCCGCCCGTCAACCTGGCCCCTGTGGGGGGACTGGCTCGGGCAGGTCTGGGGGGTTGCCAAAAGTGTGGCCTGGGACCTTGACCCCACCTTGCCCTAAGTTCCTTCCATCCTGTCTCCTCACGGGGCTCACTGCCTCCTGCCCGGCTCGGGCCATCTACTCTCACTAGGCCCCCTTTTCCAACCTGGTGTGCTGGGCTACAGCAACATGTGTGCTCTGAGCTCCTCTCTCCAGAAAAGAGCCGTGACAGCCCCTGTTCCAGTGCCTGCCCCCGGCTAGACACCCCCACTTCCTCAGCCCTGGGTCATGGGCCATGATTTGCCAACCCCCTGCACAGTTGGGCAGTGGTGTGGTCAGTGCTGGCTGTGGAGCACAGCATAGCTGGGCAGTGGCTGCCACCTGGGCTGGGCCTTGCTCCTGCAGCCGTGGTGGCTGTGACAGGCTGCCGTGGGGTTGGGGGCACCCTCATCAAGGCTGGTGTGAAGGCCCTATGTGTTTTCAGTGTTGTATGTGAGGTAACCCTTTGGGTGCGGGGCACACCAGCCCTGCCGGCCATGTCCACGCGTGCATGCCATGCTCTGCGTCTGTCCTGTTCTCCGTCTTGTTTTCTCACTGTGCACTTGGTCCTGTAGGTGGCTGCTGTCTGCCTGGGCAGGGCAGGGGTTCAGACCAACCCTCGGCAGTTCTCTGGGCATTGGGGTGGGGAGAGCAGAAGAAACTAGAAGCCCGGCCCTTGACGGTGTAGTGCTTCCAAAATGCAGTTGGTCAAAGCTCCCCTCTCTCATCCCTCGCCACATTCACGGCATCTGAGTATCCAGGACTCACTCCCGGATGTGACTGAGGCGTGTCCGTGGCCTGCAGGCACCAGCGGGCCAGCATCCCTGGCAGAAGACAAGCCTGCGGCCCAAGGCCCAGTGCAGATCGTGACTGTGGGCCACGCGGACCACGCCCAGGACGTGGGGGAGACGGCCGCTGGCGGGGGCGCTCGGCCCAGCGGGCAGGACCTGCGCGCCACAATGCAGAGGAAGGGTGAGCCCCAGTGCAGAGGCCCAGATTGAGGGTCCACCCCGCCACCCGGCTGCAGCGGGCGGGACATACATGGAGACCCATGGGGAACCTGGGGGCCGGAGCTCCCAGGGACAGGCCAGGTTCAAGTTCAGGGACGAGCTGTGCACCAGGGTCACCAGCCCCCAGCCCCGTCTCCTACTCCTGATGCCCGCCCCAGGACGGGCTGGCAGAGCCAGGGTTCCCTGACCCAGGCCCTAGGGAGCCCCTGGTACATGGCACGGAGGCGTGTCCTGGCAGCACCCCCTCCCCCATCCCAACGATGTGTGGGTGAGGATGCCAGGAAGCCTCCTGTGGAGAACACTGTTGGTGTCAGGGTGGCACTCCAGGCCCCAGGAGAGTGGCAGGCAGCGGGTCCCAAACACTGGGCAGAGGCCTCCACTAGGTCCGAGGTCAGAAATGAAGGTGCCCGGTGCACAAGACAGGCTGTGTGACTGAGAGAGAGTGTGCCTGGCGGGGGGTGGCGGGGCCTTGTCCTCAGGACTCTGACCAGCCCAGCTCACGTGGGCACTAGGAGAGATGTCTTTGTGTGTTGGGACGTGCTGTGTCTGTGTTGAGTGTGCTGTCCCGTGTGCCCATGTGTGTGCCAGGGTGGGCAGCTCCTCACCCATCCCTTCTTCCATCTGCTGGGCCCAGGCATCTCCAGCAGCATGAGCTTTGACGAGGAGGAGGAAGAGGAGGATGAGAACAGCTCCAGCTCCTCCCAGCTGAACAGCAACACCCGCCCCAGCTCTGCGACGAGCAGGAAGTCCATCAGGGTGAGGAGCGCTGGCTGCTGCCGCCAGAGGTCCCACGGCAGTCCCAGGACGGCTCCTTTGGGTGGGGACAGTGTGTGAGGGCTGCACCCTATTGCTGGTGGGTTCTCGGGTCCTTTTAGTTGGTCTCCTGATCTTTCAGCCAGGCCAGAGGTGGGGGTAACATGAGCAGGACAAGCACTGGAGAGGGTGGGCTGGAGAGGCTGGCTCCTGAACGCGGGGTCCCACCCTCTCTCCCACCGCCCCAGCCCCGGTGCAGGTTTGCAGCCCAGCCCAGCAGGTATAGCCGCTGAGGCACCCTGCTCTCTGTCTCGGTAGGAGACAGCGTCTGCCCCGAGCCCAGTGGCCCCGGAGCCGCCTGTGGATGTGGAGGTGCAGGATCTGGAGGAGTTCGCTCTGAGGCCAGCCCCCCAGGGCATCACCATCAAATGCCGCATCACACGGGACAAGAAGGGGATGGATCGGGGCATGTACCCCACCTACTTCCTGCACCTGGACCGCGAGGATGGGAAGAAGGTGAGGCTGCTGGGAGCGGGACTGCAGGACCACTGCACAGCTGGAATGTGACAGGAAGTTGCAGGTCCGGCACTGACCTCTGACCTCCCCAGAGGTCCCTGCCTGGCTGGGGCAGAGCTGTGTGAGGGTGGTGCGTGCATGCACACACAGGTGTGCCCTGGGCAGCCCTTATGCATGTGTGTGAGGGTTGGTGTGCAGTCCAGAGGCTGGGTCTGCACCGTGACGTTGCTCCCTCTAAGGTGTTCCTCCTAGCGGGAAGGAAGAGAAAGAAGAGTAAAACATCAAATTACCTCATCTCTGTGGACCCAACAGACTTGTCCAGAGGCGGGGACAGCTATATCGGGAAACTGCGGTACCAGCACACCCCGGGGAGCAGGGGGACTGTGAGGGAGGGACGGGGCCGCGGTTTCTGCAGAGGGCAGCAGCCATCCCTCCCGTCTGCCAGTTCTCTCCAGGCCCAGGTTGTGCCCAGCCTGGAGCAGGTGGGTGGAAGCCCAGCTGTCACTGACACCGGCCCCCAGGGTCAGGACCCAGTCCTAGGACTAGGTGTGTGCCCTGGGTTGGTTCACAGCCATGGGAAGATGCAGGAAGATGCCCGTTTCTGAGGGAGAACAGAGTAACCAGTAGAGGTCACGAGCTCAAACTAGACATGGGACCAGGACCTGTGGAATCACCGCCTTTACTCCTCGGGGCCCTGGTCCCCCTCCACAGGCTCCCCAGAGACCAGCCAGCCTGTTTATCCCAGGAGGGCAGCACCCCTGTTGCTCCAGGGAAACTGGTGTAGGTTTTGGATTCAGCCTCCTGCTCTGGTGCCCCGGGAGTCCAGGCCTGCTGCACAGGCTGCTCCCTGCTTTGGGCAGAGGCACGTGACTGTTGACTGTCCCCTCAGGTCCAACCTGATGGGCACCAAGTTCACCGTGTATGACAACGGAGTCAACCCTCAGAAGGCGTCATCCTCGACCCTGGAGAGCGGGACCCTGCGGCAGGAGCTGGCGGCCGTGTGCTACGTGAGTGCAGGGTTACGCATTTCCGGCTCTCGCTGAATGCTCGCCTTGAGAGGAGTTTCTGTTGTTGGCTTTTTAGTTTGACTTGTTCTTTCTAATGAGTAAACAAGCTCAGAGGTTCAGTTACTTGACTTTGCATGGCTCATATGTGAACAAACAAAAATACCAAGGATTTCTACTCTTCTGAACCCACTTTGCTTCCGTTTTAAAGATTATTTTTATTAGAAAGGCAGATTTACAGAGAGAAGGGGGTGCAGAGACAGATCTGTCAGCTGGTTCACTGCGCAAGTGGTTGCAAAGGACAGAACTGAGCTGATCCAAAACCGGGAGCCAGGAGCTGTTTCCAGGTCTCCCACATGGGTGCAGGGTCCTAAGGCTTTAGGCCATCCTCTGCTGCTCTCCCAGGCCACAAACTGGGAGCTGGATGGAAGTGGAGCAGCTGGGATTCCAGGTATGCAAGACAAGGATTTAGCCACTGAGCCCCCAGGCCCTGCTTTCATTTTACAATAGGGCTATAAAGGCTGATGGCAAAACTGTGTTGTCTGGCGGCCCTGCTGGCTGGTTTGGGGGAGGCAGCCTGAGTCTTCTCTGAACTACTGAGCGCCAACTGTGTTGCTATTTGAAGCACCGGGAATGTAATGGAACATCCAGATAAGTTTTATGTCCTGTTGACCTGAACCCCAAGGTGGGGGTGAAAGGTATAAAGCAAGTGAGTGGAATGAGCAAGCCCCTAACCCCTGTGCAAGGGGATGGAGGTCAAGGAGGAGTGCAGGCACTGAGGAATGAGGCTACAGCACTTGAGGGACAACAAGGAGGGGCATGGCAGCCATGAGCTTGCAGGGGTACAGTGACAGCAGTCCTGAACGGTAATGGTTACAAGCGTCACTTCTACCTGCGGTGAGCTGAGAAGGCAGGCAGTGTCACTTCACACGACCCAGGCAGCAACGGCACAGAGGAGACCAGTGAACAGCATGGGCAGTGGTGAGAGTGGGCAAAGCATGCAGGTTAAGGGAGTCATGGAGAGACCGAGGTGGCAGCAGTGGCTGTTGGGTGAGAGAAAGGGGCAAGGGGAGGAGTCACGCGAGAGTCCAAGCTGCTCCCCTGTGGTCCCTGCTTCCCAGCAGGTAAGTGCGGGCATCAGGTGGCCTCTGCTCAGTTCTCTCCCCGCATTTCCCAGGAGACCAACGTCTTGGGCTTCAAGGGGCCTCGGAAGATGAGCGTGATTGTCCCTGGCATGAACATGGTTCACGAGCGAGTCTCCATCCGCCCCCGGAACGTGAGTCTCCAGGCGCAGGGGGCACAGTTGCAGCTGGCATGGGTCTATGTGGAGGGGCCAGGGTACCAGCCGGGGAAGCCCTGGGAGGGCTCCTGCTCCAGGCGGGCCTGGCTCAGGTGAGGCCCCCACCCTAGGAGCATGAGACGCTGCTGGCACGCTGGCAGAACAAGAACACGGAGAGCATCATTGAGCTGCAGAACAAGACCCCTGTGTGGAACGACGACACCCAGTCCTACGTACTCAACTTCCACGGGCGTGTCACCCAGGCCTCCGTGAAGAACTTCCAGATCATCCATGGCAATGACCGTGAGTATTTGTCCCCTCCTCGCTGCTCTCCGGAACACCCATTACCCTCTGGCCTGGGGCTCTGCTTGCCTAGGCCTGCCCTGACAGCCTGGAGCATAAGGCTGAGGGCTCTGCAGGGAGGTGAAGTCCGGGCAGTCTGACTGCACAGGGCCAGGGCGGTCCGGAGGAGCCTGCGGAGAGCGGCTCCCGGCGCCGTGAGCAGCAGGCTCGGCTGAGGGATGGACACTCTGTGTGAACACGTTTCTGCCCCGTCTCCTGGTGTTTGGTTGCCTCTCCCCTTCGCCCTCTGCTGCCGCTCCTTTTGGGTCTGCATTGCGCCTGCAGGGCTTGCTGGCCTCTCTGGCTTCTGCCTCTCCCATCCCGCTCGTGGGCTGGGCACCTGTCTGGCCTTCCCTGACTCTCCCTCATCCCCATCTGTCCTTTCTCTCTTCCCACGCCTGTGCCCGCCCCAGCGGACTACATCGTGATGCAGTTTGGCCGGGTAGCAGAGGATGTGTTCACGATGGATTACAACTACCCACTGTGTGCACTGCAGGCCTTTGCCATCGCCCTGTCCAGCTTTGACAGCAAGCTGGCCTGCGAATAGAGGCCGCCTCAGTCTCCTTGGGTTGCCCAGCCTGGAGTGGAGCTCACCTGCCTGCCTGCAGAGATGGCCCTGCCTACCCTGTGTACATAGGTCTTCTGCCAGAGGAAGCCGTGGCCCGCGGTGGGCTTCCTGGCCCAGCCAGCCAGGAACTGGCTCCTCTGCCTCTGTGGCTGAGGCAGTGGAGTAGGAGTGAGTGTTGGGATGAGAGTAATTCTGTGCCCCAATTCTCGGGTTAGTATTCTGCTGCAACTGCTTTTGGCACGCTGGGCAATCTCTAGCAGGGAAGGCCAGATGGGGCAGGAAGGGGGAAGGCAGCACAGTGCAGGGCCGCGGGGGCCCAGCCAGCCCCTCAGCCAACAGCAAGTGCCCCAGCAGGTAGGGGCAGGAGGGAGGTGCAGGGCATATCAGCTTTCTTGGCAAAGTGTTTGATGCCCAGGCCTCTAACTTCAAAGGCCCTAGCAGAGCTGCAAAGGGTGTGGTGCGGGCAGGGGAGTGGCAGCATGCTGCTGGGTCTGTGGGGATCAGCTGGCAGCCTGGGGCTGAAGCTCTGCTGACTCCTGTAGGTTTGTTCTGTGCTCAGAGGCAGCAGGAACTGTAAAGGCCAAATGCTCGAGTTGATGGGGTCTGTTGCACAGGGCTCCCCACAAGCCCAGCCACCCGCCCCAGGCACTCTCCACTGAGCAGCCACAACACAACCCCTAGGGAATGTAGATGGGGGCCAAGTAGCTGCCTGGTGCTCCTGTGGGTCAGAGGACCGCTGCCAAGCCTGGTGGGCTCCAGGAAGAGTCTGTACCCAGAGATCTGGCAGCAGCTGTTACTGGCGGTATCCCAGCTCCTGCTGCCATCGGCCAAGGCATGCCTGGAGAGAGCTGCTTTCTGAATGGGCAGGGAACGGAGAAGGATTTGAAGCTACAGGAGCTCAGAAGTGACAGGCCCGTAGGGATCTACTAGTACAATCACGTTGCTTTAGCTTAATCACTCGAAAACATGGGATTGGCCCTGGGTCCCCCCTCCTGTATTCCCATAGAACCCCAAGAAACTCATCTCCAGCTCTCCGGCCTTCTGGGTCTGTGCTGCGTGCCTGCCCTCCGAGTCCAGAGTCCTAGGGGTGTCAGGATTGATGAGTAGGTTGACAGTACTGTGGCAGGAAACGCAGGTCTCTGTTGGAAGTTGTCCTGCCAGTCTGATTAGGAAGGGCCTGGCCGCAGGTTTCCCTGATCACTTCTTGGCCTTTTGGCTAAGACCGAGTGTAGGCTTCCCTGTCCAACGTTGACAGGTAAAAAGTGGGTGCATCCAGGGCTGCGCCCAAATGCTCGGTCTGCTCTCTGGATGTTCCCATGCACCTTGCAGGCTTGGGGATTCTAAATTCTTACCCAGTGTCATTTTCTCTGGCAGAGGCTTCCTACGGATGGAGATCAGAAACCAGTGGGAAGCTTACTTTGCAGCAGCTATGCATGAAAAGGCTAAGGAGAAACCGGGTTCTTAAAAAATCATACTTGATCAATTTCAAGCTCTTAGAGGTAAAGGCATTGTTTTAACAAGTCAAAATAAGTCTTGGTAATCCAAAGTTGTTGAAGGCTTCAAGCAAGGGACAGCTGTTGCAGCAGAGTCGGCTCCCGCCTCAGCTGAGTGAGTGTCCCATCCCCGAGAGGTCCCTCTAAGCAGCTTGCTTTTGTTAGTGGGGTCCAGGCCTTCATGGGATGTGGGCAACAGGTACAGTTCCAAGGTGGCACAGGCTGACTGGATTCTAGTGAGAAAGGAGGGTCTTGATGACAGAGTGGAAAAATCAGAAGCACAATGGAAAATTCTTGGCCTCTGCTTTGTCTTAGCACATGGAAGAATAGAAGGGCGAGGTGGCGAGGTGGGCAGCTAGCTCTGGCTGCATGCTGTTGGGCTCTGAAAGCCGAGCATTAGCAGTAGAGCGTCCTGCCGGAGCCCTGGCCTCACCAGCTCGCTCTTCAACCTTCACCCTGGTCATGCCCACCTGCCTACAAGCTCAGCAGGTGCCCGGGGCTGCAAGAGCACATGAGCTCTGGCCTCTCCTGTGAACTTGTTGCCCTTCACACCCGCTCCACAGAGTCCTTTGAGTGGACAGGAGTCGAGGGGATCCAGCCCCTAAGGTGATGGACAGCTGGGACTTTGGCACCTTGTCCTGAAACACTACACCCTCTGCCCCAAAAGAGTCCCCTGCAGAGTGGTGAAACTCACTCCCCCAACTCTCCAAGTCTGGCTTTCCTTTACTTTTGGCTCCAAGGTGCTCTGTGTCTGTATGTGTGCGTCTGCGTGTGTGTGTGTGTATGTATGTGTGTGGAAAAGGACAATCTGTAAACCATCGACTGAGGTTCTGATCTGGAGAATGTCTGAGGATGAGCAGGAAAGGCAGAGGGGCAGCTGTGGGGTTTTGCCATTCATCTCATGCTTTTCCAACAGCAGCTACACCTTGGAAATGAGCAGCTCTTGCTGAGGTGGAGTGGCACGGTACAGTCTAGCATGTGGGCTCCTGGCCGAGTTTAAACAGCTGCTAGTGAATGTGCCTTAAGACCACGACACTAGCTCAAGGCAGCGTGTGGGAACGGGCGGTGGGATGGGGGCTAGCGGAGAACCTTGGACCTGTCTCACTGACACGGACGGCACAACTGTTGTAAAACCTGAGCTCGGTGTTAGAGCTGTATCAGTGGGGGAGGAGGGAAGTTGCACAGGGAAGGTCCTGCTGCGCGGCCCATGCTGTAATATGCAAGCACAAATCCCATCCCAGAGGCGGCCCTGGTTTTCTCCCCAGTGGCAGTGCCACACTGGCCTTGCCTCTTCCTCCGGCCCCACCCTGCAGCGTTCCCCTTTATCAAGCCTGCTGGGGTGGACCAGCACCTGTCCTGGACCTCTGAGCCTGGGGCTGCTGGAGCAGTACACAGCTACTCTCAGGAAGGTTTGGTTTTTAAAGTCTCTAAGAGGAAAAGCAGATAGCTACCCCGGAAGTGGTGCTTCCTGGGGTAGCTGTCATTTTGAACAAAATGAGACACGCAGCTCTGTGTCTCATTACTTAACTGCAAGATGGAATGTGTGCGCTGCTGGGATTCACGGTGAATGAACAGCTCCTCCTCGGGTTCGTCTCTACCTGCTCTAGCTCAGCACTGTGCCTTCTGGGAAGACCTCCCCTCCACTTCTGTCCCACTGCCTTCCCTTGCTCTCCCCGTCAAGGCCCAGGTAGAAGGACTGGGGGAAGCCCCACTCTGGCCACTAAGCCTGCATTTGGTGACAAAGGTATCTCTTGCTGGGAGCACACATTTAGCCAGTTTTCATAATGCCTAGAACATGTACGTCTATTTGCACAAGATTGTCTTTTCCTACTTTGGAGTGGTCAGACATCTTATTTTCAAAATTACCGAGTTTTAGACAAACTTGCAAAACTGCTTTTATTAACTGACTTTTTGAATAAACTTTCGTATTCTGGAGCAAATGTATTTATTTATTGGTATGTGCAATGGCAGACTTGGTATTTTCCCTTGTTGACATTATGTTATGTTGTAGAACTTACAGTGTTTGTCGTCATAAGTACAGACATATCAACAAATTAAACTCGACTGGCTACAACACTGCTGGTTTCTAATGTTTGCTAACAGCCTCTTTAGAAAGGGGTGTGTAGCTACGCCCCGAAGACGTGGGATGCATGAGGTTAAATGGTAAGTTTATCTTGGTACAGAACTGTAAAAGCATAGTTTTTCAGAACATAACATTTTACATTAAGTTTTTAAAACTTACTGATGGAATGAGACTTTTTGTTCCAAGATGTGTAATGAAGTATCCAAAAAGACCCAGACCTTGTCTCTCTGGCATTCCTAGCCGCCCCCTCCCTCCTCCCATCAGCTGTGTTACACTTGCAAGCAGCTCTGCCCACCACCTGGAGGCTGCCTGCCTCTGATAGGGTAGCGTGCCCTGTGCAGCGCCCTGGGATGTGACCATATCTAACTGCCCTGGAAGGGTCCCGGCCTCAGGCCATAGAGGAGGAAAGGAAAAGTGATTGGTGTGTTTTCTTGTTGAGAGCTACAGAACTAGAGCACTGCCTACCTCCTGTGGCCTCAGCTCAAATGGAAAATAACATTTCCAAGGACATTCCAAAAAGGAAAGAGGGTTTTTAGTTATCTGGCTTAAGGAAAATTTTCAATGGCCACAAAAGGGTGACCTACCTCCCAGGATAGTCTTGGCATAAGTGTCCCATTTTACACTGCAGATTATTTGAAGTTGCAGGAGGCCAAACTTGCCTCCCCACCTGTTGTGAGCAGGCACCAAGTGCTCCTGCCCAGGGCGGCCACAGGCCAGCCAGGCCTGCGGTGCCTCACACAGTGCAGCGCTATGCTTTGCCAACTGCCCAAGGTCATCAAGACAAGCCCATTACTTGCTTGTGGGGCATGTACGAGGAACTAGCACATCATTGGCCAAGTAATTCTGGAAACAAGGTCACAATCCTTGCCGTCTGAAAGACACATCAAGCTTCCTTCCCTGATAGTATATACCAACCAAGGTCTAGGTCAGAGAGAACTACTGTGGGGACCTAGTATTTCTGGCATGAACTGTTTCCTCCACAAGCCAGCTTTCCCCAAACACTGACCCTCAGGAATACAGTGGGTTTTGCAGCATTTTCCATGTCAGCACCACAATTCACGACCAGCCCCATGCTGCCACCCTCACTAGTCTCTCTCCCTACTTTACCCACCACCTGTCAAGTGTATTGAAAACTTTGGCAAAAACTATTGGACAGAGTAAACCATCGTACTATAAAGATAGCTAGAACCAGTGCTGTTTTACATAACATTATGCCACAATCCTGGGCGAGCTGGGCTTACACCATCCTTCCTTTACTGCTGAGGAAATCACGGCTCAGACCTTGTGAGGAGCTGACCCAGACTCTAAGAACACGAAGGGCCGTGTCCCACTCCTCTGCCTGTGTGAGTCACAGTGCACTCTATCCGCCAGGCTTCCATGTTAGCAACAGGACTGACCCTCTGTGCCAGAACTCCTGTCCCTGGATGAGTGCAGGGGAGGGGAAGGAGGAAAGACCTCCTCACCAAAGCCTCATAACCTTAAAGCATAAAACACCCCCTCCTGGAGGGAAGTAACACAACACACTATCAAACCAGTAAGGTGTCCTGACAGTGGCTTTTACCTTGAGTTTTCTAAGTTGTCCGCAGCACATGCCAGACAGCATTCTTTCCAACAGGAGTGCAGTGCTCTGCTCAGACGCTGACGGCTTTGACAATGCTGAGCAGACAGGTCACCTTCTGCTAACAGTCCTCATGTTGATTTTTAACCGTTTTCCCTGGCATCTTAAGCAAGACACAATAGAACTCTAAAAACGCTATAATCTACCTTTACAAAATGTCACAATATTTGCTTTTCACACATCTCACAAACTGAAGTGGGGCATGTCTACTTTTAACTCCCTGGTCTTAAAACTAAGTTCACTCATCAGGTGCTATCTTGTCTCAAGCAGACATGTGGCAGATGGCAGCTGAAAACAGGCCTTTCTGGTCAGAATCCTCTCAACTCTAAAGCCACTTCCTCCCAAAGGAGTGCAGGCCAGCCCAGCTACATCCTGCTGCTTACACACTAAACAGCACTCGGCACGAGGGAAGCCCTGTGCAAGCAAGATTTAGGTCTCAACAGAAGTTTGAAAGGGCTCCACTTAGTTCAGCCCTGCCTGCACCATAGCTAATCTATAACCACCACAGAGACATGCACCACCACCAGTGGCTCGGTCCTCTTCCACCTGCCACGCCAAACCATACTGCTGTTGTTCAAAGGTGCTTGCTTTTAAATAAAACCACTTCTTCTACCCTTGTGTCTGGTCTCACAAACGGCTATCGATAGCAGGACACAAGTCCGGCCTCCTCTCCCCAGCTCTCCCAGCACTGCATCATACTGCACAGTTGCCCTGTCGGGCTGCCCCTTCACATATAAACCCAGGGATATTTTGTTTCAATTCATGTGGTGACAAACTGCCTGAATGGCACGGCATTCAGAAACACATTCTAGGCAAGAGCTATCCTTAGGAACATGGGTTCTTACCCTTCTCATTGGCTCCCTTGGCACTGTAAGCTCAGGCAGCCCCCAACTTGAGTCCTTCCTGGAGCAGCAGCAAACCTAAGCTCCATAAAATGTCCCTTGGCCAGAGGTGCCAAAGGTACTTCAGGGTTTGGCAATTCTGTTAGACCAGAGATGGAAGGAGCTAGTGATCTAGGCACTAACTGAGTAGAATGGCAACCAACAACACTGTGGGTCACCGCCAGGTCAGTGGGAGTCCCCGGCCACTCCAGTACAAAGTTGTGGTTGGATGCAGCCTCCTGCTGTAAGGTCAGCTCGGAGAGCAAGGGCTTCTGTTCTGGGTGGTCCAGCACGTCCACCAATGGAACATTCTCATCTCCCCAGGGGCCCACTAACCTGCTCAAGGTCCAACGAACAAGGCAGCTTGGAACCTGAGATCTTGACTCTTACAGCCGTAAGTCCACATCTGTAAGCTGACATCCAGTCAGGGGCAAGCCGTCTGCTACTGGAGGGAGAGTCAGACCTCTGGCCCTGACAGCTCCCACCTGCAATTATGACAGACCAAGTGTGGTTACTCGCTGGTTCAACTTCTGACCAGGAAAGGCAGGAAGAGGCCACGGCTGCCCGCGTCCACAGGAACGTTCACGTTTTACAAGGTGGCAAGTATGTGAGCACCTGAACATGTGCCACAGGGGTGGTCTGAGCTGTGACAACTGGGTGCAGAGAGAGAAGGGAAAGGGCAGGGAGGAAAGCAGAGAACAGTCACTATCGGACTAGAGGGGTGGCTACATCACCACAGAGGTGTCACTCGGAACCCTGCGGGCTGCGCTTCCTCAGTGTGCCGCCTGTGCCCGCACTAACACCCAGCCCTTCACCTCTGAAGTCCTGGGGCCACTCTTCCTGGGGGGCTTCCTCACTGGAGCCATCTGCACTGAATCCAGCATTCTCTGCCAGAACAGCAGGATCCTCTTCAGAACAGCAGGAACAAGGCTCTGGCTGTGCCTCACACGAACGAACAGAATTTTCTTCCGGGGCTCTGAGGCTGGTGGATAGACCTTCCCAGCCCACGCGGCGTGAGCCGTCCTCTTCCATCACTTCCATTCTTTCAGCTATTTCTTCAGCAGAGGGCTCTTGTGGATCAGGGTAATCCACCAGGATTGTTTCTTGCCTGCGCTTGATAGAGTCTGAAAGGCCATACACCGGGTACGTCTCTTCAGGGTAACCTAGAGAGAAAACACAGCGGTCTCACACAGATGTCTCTTCAGAAAATGAAGTGGCAGGCTCAGAGAATTCTCTGGCAGCAGCCATCATAGACAAACAAATCCATTCAAGAAACCCTAAGATCATTCTAACAGTGCTAAAGTTTCACTTGAGCAAATTCTTAGCAACCTGCCTGGCTTTCCCAGCTCGCTCTGACATACAAACCAATTCGGATGAAAATCCCTTAAGTGTAAGGTAGCTTGGGCAGAGTCAAGTCTCGCGCCATGTGCTTCTGCAATACTGATGAAGATTAAACAAACAACAGGAGCCTTCAGTTTGAGAAAGATGCACCAAGTCCCAGCTACAGTGAGCTCAGCTCAAGGCTGGTGTTAGTAGTTTCTACCGGAAACCCTCTCCTGATCTTCCTGCAGGGTGGGTCAAGAGGAGGGGACGTGGACAAGGCAGGAAAGGAACAAAGCTCTTCCACGATTATACCAGGAAGTTGCCTACTCATTAACATGACTAAAACGGCTGCTGAGTGTCAAAAATAGAGGGCACTTCAACAGGCCATGGCAAGGTCCTGGAGGAAAGTACTCCATTTTCAGAAGACAGAATTCCCATTGTTGGCTTCTGGTCTCCACAGAATTGAACAAAAGAGAACAAGTGGGTAAACAAAATGAGTGATACTGGTGCCAAATTCCAGCTATGATAATGAGGAAAGAAAATCTTGCCAGATTAAGGGATGAGATGAAATCCACCTGTGTCAGCCCCCAGCGCAGGAGCAGCAGGTGGGCTGCGCTGGAGCTCACACGCCATGCTGGCCGAGGCCTCCGAGCCCACAGCCCACGGCGAGAGGCTACAGAGTCCATTCACGTATTATGCTCACTGGCCAGTTCAACCCTGCCATAAACCTCTTGTGGTCTGCAAACTGCAAGATAGTGGTCATTTTTGGTGCAATGTTCTTTTTCCAAAGTATAAAAGTCTTGGAGAAATTTAAAACAGGAAATACATTACCCAAAATCCTTACACTGATAATTTATTTTCAGTTTTGAAACAATTATAGCATGTAAATTATGAATATCCTTTTTTTCATTCAGCATTACATCATGAGTTTTCCCATATCATTGGGCATTTCAAAATATCCCAGCACACAGCTACTGATTGGCCCTGCTCTGCCTTTCCTTTTCTGTAAAGATCGGATCATTTGTAAACAATATTGTACTTAAGATCATTTAATATTATACAGACTCATAAACATGAAAACTAGACAGAAGGGAAAACTGACAAGCCCTTTCTACACTGTTCCAGCACCCCTTCCAGAAGACTGCAACATGTCCACCTTGCCAGTGCCACTAGAAGCGTCCACATCATCACCCCTTCAGCAGCACGGCCAGTGGGCTGAGAGTGGCCACGGCACTCTCCAGACATCACTGCCATGCAGCAACTGCTCAGGAAAATGGAGCTTAGCTCTCGCTGTGGCACGGCTATTAACCCCTCAAACTGAAGTGGAACCCCCAAAGCCAAGTTAATGTTATGTGGAGGTAAGGCCTTTCTAAGGTAATGAGGGAGGGACCCCCATGACTGCATCACCGGCTGTCTAAGGAACACTGCAGGTGTTGGCCCAGTGGTCAGGATGCACACCCACATCCCAGAGTGCCTCAGTGCAGTCCTCAGCACGGCCTCCTGATCCCAGCGGCCTGCTCCTGCGAACCTTACGGCGCAGGGCTCATGCTTCAACTGCAGTTCTTGGCACCCACGTGGGAGGCCTGGACGGAGCTCCTGGCTTCAGGAAAACAGCCCTGCTGCAAGCACATGAGGAGAGCACCAGTGGATGGCAGACAGCCATGCCCATCTCAGGCACAAGGAAAAACTGCCCAACAACCTGAGCCTTCTGTTTCACCATTCAGTGTCTTGCCATTTCATGACCCAGATGCCAAGGACACATTGCCACCACACCCTTGGAACTTGTAAAACCTTGAGCTAAACATTTTCCAGATTTTCATCAGCAAATGGACTCATACAGCTACCTGTGGTCTTCACAGTTCCCTGAGTTGTGGAAGCCTGCTTTCTAGTTTGGTCCCAGCCACTGAATGCTTCCGAGAAGTTTGCCGGAGGCTGTTCTGTCTTTGCCTTCTCCCATAGCAAAGCTTACCTGTGGATTTCTGAAACTTTGCTTTGGTTTAAGAGGAAGAGTCAGATCCAGGCACCATACCTTGTTCAGTGAGGCTGGCAGCCCCTGTGATCTGAAGATGTTTCAATTGGCACCTGCTGTGGGAAACATTATACATACAAAAACCTCAGCAGTGGGGGCACTGTTGTGGCACTGTGGGTTAAGCCACTGTGCGTGTTGCCGGTAACCCATATTGCAGCACCTGCACCTGCTCCACCTCTATTATAACTCCCTAATAATGCATGAGAAAGAAGCATAAGATAGCTCAAGTACCTGGATTCCTGAAAGCCACATGTCGAGACCCGATTCATGCTCCTGATTCCTGGTTAAAGCCTAGCCCAGCTCTGGCCACTGTTACCCTTTGGGGAGTAAATTAGCAGATAGAAGATTCCTTTCTCTCTCTGCCAGCCAAACAGATAAATTGTTTCAAAAGACTTTTTTAAATAAAAGATTCCGTTTATTTGAAAGGTAGGGTTACACAGGAGAGAGGAAGTCTACCTTCTGTCTGCTGCTTCCCTCAGATGGTTGCATCAGACCAAAGCCAGGAACCTGGACTCTCCCACACAGGTACAGGGGCATCAGGGCAGGTCTCCCACATGGATACAGAGGCATTAGGGTTTGAGCCATCTTTTGCTTCTTGCCCAGGCACACTAGCAGGGAACTGGATCGGAACTGGAACAGCAGGGACTCAAGGCAGTGTTCACACAGGTTGCTGGTCTCGTGGGTAGCAACTTAACCTACCAGTGCTGGCCCTGGATATTTAAAACAGAATCCTAGATAATACAGAGCACTTGATGTGGCCTATTGATGCAAACAGGAGAAAATACATGAGATCTCTTGAGACACTTTTATAAGGAATATACTTAATATATAAATCAACAATAGGTGTTTACTAACACATACTGTACAGACTGCACATGCTATACCTTTTTCATATTTAAGAAAGGGGTCTTTCATCTGCTGACTCACCCTCCCCCCACATGTCAGATCAGCCCTAAGTCAGGAGCCTGGAACTCAACCTGGGTCTCCACGTGGGTGGTGGCATGGATTCAAGTGTGTGAGCCATCACCTGCTACTGCCCAGGCTGTACATAGCAGCCGGACGGAACTGGAGGAGAGCCAGGACTTGAACCAAGTATTGCAATATGGGATGCGTGTATCTCAAGCATTCTCTTAACACAGATTGGTTTTTACCAGCATTACTATAAACGTGGATATGTTTTATGCTGTAGCATTATTAATATCATTAGATCACTAGGAAATAAGAATTTTCAGTTTCATCATATTCGTATGGGGCTACTATTATATATGCAGCCCACTGCAGACCTTATATATATATATATAAGACCTTATATATATATATATATATATATATTTTTTTTTTTTTTACTTGAGAGAGAGCAAGTCAGCTTCCATCCACTGGTTATTCTGCAAATACCCACAACAGCTCATGCTGGGCTAAAGCTGAGAGATGGAGTCTTCCCCATGGAGTCTCTCACTTCAGCCATTACTGCAGGAATCCAGAGTCAGGACTGTTGTGCCGGTTCTTTGAAATCCCCAGATAATCATCAAGTCTGAAGCCGGTGCTAAGGCAAAAAGGTGGTTTATTCAGGTTAGCCTAGGTAACCCAGCCACCTCCCCCATCCTAGCATGGCTGGGCGGGGGAGGGGCAGCCGCAGCCAAGGCTGCTAGGATCCGCAGGGAGGACAAAAGAAGCGTGAGCCAGAAGAGAGAAGAGAGCGCGAGAGTCCAAGCCCCCCAGTTCTTATACATTTCAGGCTATTAATTATACAGTCATGACTTAGCAGGCTGCTATTGGTGGATTTGAAACAAGCAACTTTCAAAAAGTACAAATCGATGAGCTACTGGGCTGTGAATCTTATCAAATACCAGGTACTTCCTTCCTGAGGAGTGAGTGGTCTGCCTACGTGACCTGCCAGGTGTCCTGCCGGGTGTCATGTAGGCTATCAGGACTGAGGTTCACACAGCCCCCAGCCAAGCCATTAAAGCAGAATCACAAAAGGCAGAAAACTCCTAGGTTCTTCAGGACTAAAGCAGGGAATCAACTCAAGCACTCCAATATGTAAGGTGGGCATCTGAACCAACATTTTAAGAACAAAGTCAAACACCTCTTTATATTTACCCTCAAAGGAAGCACAGTGAAGGTCAAGAAGATACAGAGAAACAACTCCATGAATCAGGAAAATAACAAATGACCAAAACATAGATACTTAAGAGCCTGAAATTATTTCTAAAATTATGAATTTAAAAAATACAAAACAGTAGCCCACTTACAATAAAGCTTTTGTCCCAAGATTCCCAAGAGATGCCTGATACCATGGACAGATCCAAGCCCTATACATGCAGTGCTTTTCTTGTCTCACATGCGCTGGGATCCCATACACTTGCACTGGGGTGTCAGTTTCTGTCCTGGATGCCACATGTGTCCTGAGAAAGCAGTAGAGGATGGCCCAAAGCCTTGAGCCATGGAAGACCTCAAAGAAACTCCTGGCTCCTGATCAGCTCAGCTCCAACTACTGCAGCCACTTGGGGAGTGAACCAGTGGATGGAAGATCTTTCTGTCTCTCTTCCTCTTTACAAATCTGACTTTCCAATAAAAAGAAATATTTTTAAAATGCATTTACTTATAGGAGATGGAGAGAAAGATGCTACACAGCCAGGAGTGGGCTGGTTTGGAAGCTGTTACAGGGAACTCATTCAAGGTCTCTCACAGTATGGCAGAATTCACCTGAGCCATCACTGCTACCTCCCCAGGTCTGCATTAGCAGAAAATTGGGGTCAGGAGCCAACGTTTGGATCAACCCCTACCTGTCCCAACCTCCAGCTACTCAGATACAACTTCCAATTCATGTATGCTCTGCGAGGCTACTGATGGTTCACGTGTGTGAGTCCCTTATCACAATGTGGGAGATCTGGGCTGAGTTCCCAGCTCCTGATATTTGCAGAGTGAACCAGCAGTTAGAACTCCTTCTTCCTCTCAAAATAACCTAAAGATTAGTTCAGGGACGCCAGGGCAACTAGAATTCATATGGGAGAATCCTGCAAACACAGAGTCTCACAGAGAATGAGCTCAGTAACCTTTGCATACATGCAGCAGAAACTAATACCAGGAAAGGAGCTTCTGAAAGAAATCAGGCTGACAAGTTCCTGGAATGCACAGAGCTGGGAACACATTATGTCTTTACTAGCAACTACACTAGTTAGCCCTAAAAGAAAGGCTGCTCTAGACTCAGATCAACAGTCTAGAGGGGACTTAGCTGATTTCTGGCATCTTCACTGTCTATCAGAATGAAGTCTTACACTACTAAAAGTATTCATCAGTGTACCTGAAAAGCAGCAAACAATGGCATAAGTGAATGACCCCAACCTTCCATGTGGAAGGCCAGGCTGCGAGGTCCTGGCCGCTGGCATTGGCTGGGCCCATTCCTGTCCACTGCGGCACCTGGGAAGTAAAGCTGCAAACTGATGGGAGATCTCTGTCTCTCCTCACACATAAATAAATATTTTTATGATTTATTTTTTTTATTTCAAAGAAGTCTTACAGAGAGGCGAGACAAAAACAGAGACGAACTCATCTGCTGGTTCACTCCTTAAATGACAGCAAAGCCTGAAGCTGAGCTGATCGAAAGCCATGAGCCCCGAGCCCCTGAGTCTCAAACAGGGGATCCAAAGAGTTGAGCCATTTTCTGCTTTCCCCAGAAAACAAGCAGAGAACTGCATCAGAAATGAAGCAGCCGGGACATGAACTGGCACCTAAATGGAATGCTAGTGCCATAGACCGAAGATTAACTTGCTATACCAATGTTTTAGCCCCATAAATAAATTTCTTAAAAGAAGTAATACTGGGCCCGGCGGCATGGCCTAGCGGCTAAAGTCCTCGCCTTGAGCGTGCCGGGATCCCATATGGGAGCTGGTTCTAGTCCCGGCAGCTCCGCTTCCCATCCAGCTCCCTGCTTGTGGCCTGGGAAAGCAGTGGAGGACGGACCGATGCTTTGGGAACCTGCACCCACATGGGAGACCTGGAAGAAGTCCCTGGCTCCTGGCTCCGGATCGGCACAGCACCAGCCATTGCGCTCACTTGGGGAGTGAGTCATCGGATGGAAGATCTTTCTCTCCTCCTCTCTGTATATCTGACTTTGTAATAAAAATAAATAAACCTTTTTTTTAAAAAAAAGAAGTAATACTGTCTTAATTGACTGACAATTTGATCATTTAAAATAAGATCCTAAGGAATCTAATCCTAACCCATTTAAAAGAAAAGTACTAAAACTAAGTAAGTGTATTTAGCAAGGCACAGGATACAAGGTCATAGTACAAAAATAAATTATTTCTATAGAGTGCTAACAGAAGCAATTAAAAATTTTAAATAATTCTTGTGATATAAAAAATAAACTCCATTAAGCCTATGACTGCAAAATTCAATGAAAATATGCCCCTGTCAAAATTAGAAAAAAAGTTTGACAGTAAGAATCAGCCCTTTCCTTCCTTCCCTGAGGGCACAGGAGGAAAAAAACAAAACCAAAACCTGGGCCCAGCAGCGTGGCCTAGCGGCTAAAGTCCTCGCCTTGAACACGCCGGGATCCCACATGGGCACGGGTTCTAATCCCGGCAGCTCCACTTCCCATCCAGCTCCCTGCTTGTGCCTGGGGAAGCAGCCAAAGACAGCCCAAAGCTTTGGGACCCTGCACCCGTGTGGGATGCCCCGAAGAAGTTCCTAGATTGTAGCATAGCATCGGCTGTTGCGCTCACTTGGGGAGTGAATCATCAGATGAAGATCTTCCTTTCTGTCTCTCCTCCTCTCTGTATATCTGCCTTTCCAATAAATAGATCTTAAAAAACAAAACAAAACCTGTGTCCCACCCTCCTTCCTTGGTATCTGAACTTTCCCATCCTAATCAGACCTACGGGTGTGCATCCCTCTCAATTATGTAAATACTAAACAGAAAATTAAAAATATAAATAGCTTTTGTAATTAGTAAAAAGTGAGGCAGAATGGTGTGTGGGGAATATAGGCAGGAGGGAGAGCAAAGTGGGAAGTGCTGCTATGTTTCTAAATAAGGATTATGAAATACATGGAATTTATTCACTTTATATCAAGAAAAAATTAATTTAAAATATGAATTCCTTGGAGTGAATTTATAAAACATGTGAAAGATCTACACACTGAGAATTATAAAATCTAAGAAATTTTAACAGCTATGAATATTACATGTTAATGAATTAGAAGGTTCAACATTGTTAAAATATCAATTCTTATATATTAATCTAAACAGCCAGTGTAGTAGCAATCACAATTCTACAAAGCTTTGTTGTAGAAACAGCTGATACCTGGGGGCCCACCTGAAGGGGCAGGCATCTGGCACAGCAGGAAGCGGTCGTCTGGGATGCTCACATCCATATCAGAGTGCCTTAGCGCAAGGCCCAGCTCTGCTCTCCATTTCCACTTCCTGCTCGTGCACAGCCTGAGAGGCAGCTGCTGTCTCAAGAAAGGGGTCCCCACCATCCATGTGGGAAATTCAAACTGAATTCTGAGCCCCTAGTTTTGGCTATGTCCAACCTGGTTGTTGCAGAGATTGGGGAAACAAACAAATGGGAGATCTCTTTCAAAGAAGCAAGAATTTAAAAACAAAAATTTTAAAGAATTTGCACTACTTGACTGCAAGATATATTAGAAATACACAGTAATAAAGACTATGCAGCTGTATGTCTCTATGCATACACACCAAATATGGATTCCCAATGACAGAACTGGATACATCCTAACAGTGAGATGATGGGCGCTCTGACAGTGTCCAGGCCTACATTGTTGGGAAACACCTCAATGGATGGACTTGCGACTGTTCATGAAGCACACCATTGTAAAACGAGAGGAGAAATCAATGGGGGAGGGGAGGGACCCTCGGGAAGGGCATAGGCAACCCCAGAGCCTATGGAACTATATCATAAAACAAAACAAGTTTAAAAGAAAAACAAATTCATACAAATTTAATCCCAATGAAATAAAGAAACTTAACTACTTAAAAAAATACCATGTAATATTGGTGTAAGTGTAGACATATATTCGTTTTCTAAGAAAGATTAATTTGTATGTCATAAAACCAGGAAATGGTGAAAACTGTAAATCACCTATCCAAAAAAGGGTTACTATCTGGAGTACATCAACAACTTAAAACACTCAACAAAAGAAAATCCATCTAGTTGAGAAATGGACTTCAATAAACAGTTCTCAAAAGAAGAACAACAAATAGCCAACAGGTTTATGAAAAACTGCTCAACATCACCAGCTATCAGTGAAATGTAAATCAAAACCACAATAGGTATCACCTCATCTCAGAATGGCTAAAATCCAAAACAGAGAGATTAACGAATGCTGGTGAGCATGCGGAAAAAGGGGAACACTCAGACACAGACACTACTGGCGGGAATATAAATTGGTGCAGCCACTGTGGAAAACAGTGCAGAAATTTTCTTTAAAAACTCAAAATAGACTTATTATATGATCCAGCAATGCCACTACTGGGTATATATACAAAAGACTTTAACGCAATGAATTACAAATCTGTACCATCATGTTTATATTAACATTATTCATAACTGCCAAAATTTGGCATCAACCAAGATGTTCATCATCAGATGAGTGGATAAAGAAATTGTGGTGTATAGTTATTTAAAAAATGAAATTCTATCATTTATAGCAAAACAGATTCAACTAAAGGACATCACATTGAGTGAAAAATGGGTCTAGCCAGACCCAGAGTGACAAATGCTGTTCTCCCTTTTATATGGGAGTGAAAATGTAAAAATCAAAAAAAGAAACAAAAATCATATAAGGTAAATGTATGCGTGTACTGGTATTTCTGCAACACTTTTCCAGAACTGGAAACCAATGCTCAAACCAATGCTCAAGAATGTTACTTTAGTTTTAATGATCCCTGATTACTTTATAATTTACTGTATATGGGTACAATGGTCATTTTTCCATTCAATTATTATTTATAGTCATTGTATATATTCCCAGTAAAATAAGATCTTTTTGCTTTTTTAATCTCTTATTCAGTGAAGTACTAAGCTTTTTATTGTAGTGTAAATCTAGAACATATTACCTCAAAAGTTAAAAAAAAAGGAGAAGGGGAAATGAGGGGGTTGAGAGGGAGGATGAGAATGTCACTGTGTTCTTAAAATGATCTATTAAGGATTTTTAAAAAGTCAAAAAGAAGTCTGTCTCGTAGGCATATCACTAAAAGAAACATTATCCAAAGAAAGACTTGTGCCAAAGTTCAAAGCAGCTTCACTCATAATGGCGCAAAGCTATAAATAATCCAGTATTCCTCAACTGGTGGATAAACAAATCATGGTATATCCATATTCAACTTACTCATCAATTAAAAAAAAGAATACTGGTGCAGTCATTAACACTCATGAATCTCAAAAGCATTATGTTCAAGAAACGGAAATCACAGAGATACGTGATACACAGAAACACTTCAGGGACGATAAAGCCACGAACCTGCTGCCTGAGGTGGAGGTGAGATTAGCTGCGGAGGAGGAAGGAAACATTCTGGGGTACAGAATATGTTCTTTATCAACATTGGTAGTGTGATTATACAACTACATACAGCTGTCAAAATCGATAAAGCTATACCTTTCAAGTTGGTGACTATTATGCACTGTGTCTCAGGGATAAAGCCGACTATTCTTTCTGGAACAGCAGCTAGTACAGAGCTGAGGAGACACTGCTCACCTTCCCAGTCCTCCATGTAAGGAGCCTCCTCTGCTTCTTTCTCAGGAGTGGGTCTGTCCATGAACTTTCCTTCTTTCATGACCCTGGTGATTTCTCGGAGCTGGTGCAGCAATCGTTTCTCTTGGTCAGAAGTCACAGCCTGCGCTCTGCTTAGAAACATCAGACAGTCCAGCTATTTAGCAGTAAATACCCCCAGGCAACAGACACATCACTGACCTGCCTGGATCCCAGAACAGCAGGTCCAATAGCAGTAGATAATTATTCTAGAAATTGGTCCTGTATGTACAAAGCTTAGAACTAGACACATTGATTCAATATTTGGATTTTATAAATGAGAAAACTAAGTCCCACAATTGATGAAGTGACTGCCCAATGTCCCACAGACTTACCATCAATATTGGGATCACTTCTCAGCTTTCAGTTCAGCATTCTTTCACTTCATTTCTGTGCCCTGACTTTTCTAATCTCTAAATAGTTTAACTCTAGATACAGTCATTACTGTTTACTATAAACCACTTTTCTCTTAAACAAAATCAAAGAAAAATGGTCTGGGCCATTATCTTTAACCACAGAAAAGTAAGTTATTAGAATCACCTTGGTGACTGTTCTGTCCAGGCATAAGGATATATTATCAAAATCCAGAGAAGAAATTATAAATGCTTATATATTGCTCTTAATGGCAGCACTATCACCAAAATGAAGTCTCCCAACTTCTAAAAGCATTCTTCACAATTCTTTTTTTTTTTTTTAAAGATTTATTTTTATTATTTTTTTATTGGAAAGGCGGATATACAGAGAGGAGAGACAGAGAGGAAGATCTTCCGTCCGATGATTCACTCCCCAAGTGAGCGCAACGGGCTGATACTATGCCGATCTGAAGCCAGGAGCCTCTTCCGGGTCTCCCACGCGGGTGCAGGGTCCCAAAGCTTTGGGCTGTCCTCGACTGCTTTCCCAGGCCACAGGCAGGGAGCTGGAAGGGAAGCGGGGCTGCTGGGATTAGAACCGGCGCCCATATGGGATCCCGGGCGTGCAAGGCGAGGACCTTTAACCACTTGCGCCACCGCGCTGGGCCCGTTCACAATTCTTGAAGTGCAGTGTTCTAGTTTCATAGTTTATTAAACCTGGTATGAGTCCCAATTTAATTGTGTGACTTTTGCAAATGTCTGCAAAAATATAACATGGGGCTCCAATAGTATGATTAGTTTCTCTGAGGGAAGCATTGCCGCACATGATACACAGACAAGGCCTTAGTGAGAAGGCTGAGAACGGTCTGCTTTGAGACCAGTTTACACAGCGGTAGAATTTAACAGAAGCTACTTGGGTTCCTCCCACCACCCAGAACACTGAGTTGATAGAAGCTTAAGGAAAGCTAACGTGTCCCGTACTACTCTCATAGAAGTACATTTATGTTTCCAACCAGCTATTTCTACACCTGCATTTCTTTTTTAATCAGTCTAACAAACTTTAGCTTTAATAACTAATAGGGGAAAGAAAAAAAAGGTACTTCCATCCCAAACCTAAACTCAGGAGACTGAAGGTGCAACATTTCCACAGACCTTGCTGGAGTAAAATAAAAACATCAACTCAGCCCGTCCCACATTCAGCCAGAATACTAGACATAACGGGTCTCTTACAGCCTTAGTATTCCCCTCACCCCAGCTCCTATGCCCATATAACCCTCACTCTCAGAAAACAGCCCACTCTGTGGGAGACCAGACAAGCCCAGCTGCTTATCAGAGCTCTTGCCCTCAGCTGCATATTGCTTCTCTAGACTGTATGCACGGCATTCTGAGGCTCATCCAATGAGACCGTCATGACTGTTTACCAATTCACAGAAAATCAGGAGCCCTTCACTAATAGAATGGCTAACCTTTCCAGAACTTTCTCAGAGAATTCATCTTCTGTTAACTCTGAACAGGTTTACTTATTTTGTCCACATCATGCACTAGACAATACATCAAGGTCTACCTTGTGACATCCTCTGAATTTACTGTAACCAACATTCTTGGGGATTTCTGATTGTCTCACATGGTTCCATACTGCTGGGGGCAGTGACAGCATGTTCATCATCATTCAGGCACAGGGCCGTGATCATCAAAAGTGCTTGAGGAAAATCAAGACGGCAGAAGAGAGTAAGGGCACATTTAGACGGACAGAAAATCATTAGCCAGGGTCAAGTACAGAAGGTGCAAACCATGGACATAGGAGAGCACTGGCCAATGGCAGAGCGACACCCTGTGGACACGGGGAGGCAGCAGACAGTGGAGTGGTGTTGCAGTGACCAAATATCCTGGCAGCGGCCAGTGATCAGAGCTCCACCGGTGACCAGGTCGGAAGGGGAGCCACTGGGAGCTCAGGAGGTGAGCCAAGGCACAGAACCGCCTATCTTCCTTATTTGCATGATTCTACCATAAGCGGAAGCAGAGTGGCAGAAGCCAAGCAGGAGGGTGCAGGAACAGGGTGATTTCATAGCTCAGACCCCCACCAGTGCCCCACTGGGCACCATTTTATGTACTGAGAAAAAGGCCATGCATGCGCTAAGCCAGGAGTGAGCTCATTTCCAGCTGGATGCATTGCACTGGTTCCATGAGGAAAACAGCACTGACATGACATCCTACAGGTTCCACCCCAAGGCAGGTTCAGGTAGCCAGCAGACCCAGACCCCGCCCAGTGCCACACTGAGGGCCATTTTGTGTGGTGAGGAAAAGGCTGTGGGGCTGCAGGAACAGCAGCGAGCTACACATGCACTGAGCCACTTCCAGCTCAGCTTGTGTCTGGTCTCACAGTTAAAAATAGCACTGACTTGGTATCCCATGTGTTCCAATCAAATATGGCCGGGTGGCCTTCAGACCTAAGAGCCAGCAGGTTCCAGCAAGATCATCTCCACTGGGCCCGGCGGCATGACCTAGCGGCTAAAGTCTTAGCCTTGAACACGCCGGGATCCCAAATGGGCACTGGTTCTAATCCCGGCAGCTCCACTTCCCATTCAGCTCCCTGCCTGTGGCCTGGGAAAGCAGGCAAAGACGGCCCAAAGGAGGCATGATGAATATTACTGATGCCTCCCCCCTTAAACGAGCAGAAACCTTTGTCAACCTTAGAGCTAACAGGAAATCACTGAAGAAAAGGGGGATAAAGAATTTAAAAACTTGTTATTAAAATTCTTAACAATGAGAAGCACATACACACAGGAAACAGCAACACCAAAACAAAACCAAGCCAAATTATTAGAAATGAAGGACATAATGGAGCAAATTAAAAATTCAGTGGAGGGCCTCGCATGATTGCCTAATGGCTAAATCCTCGCCTTGCAGCCACCAGGATCCCATATGCATGCCTGTTCATGCCCCGGCTGTTCCACTTCCTATGCAGCTCACTGCTTGTGGCCTGGGAAGCAGCAGAGGATGACCCAAAGCCTTGGGACCCTTTCCCAACACCGGAGACCCAGAAGACGCTCCTGGCTCCTGGCTTTGGATCAGCTCAGCTCTGGCCACCATAACTACTTAAAGATACTCTACTGACAGAGAAAAAGAACAGCACCTACAAAACCCAAAGGCAAACAAGGAGACAGTCAATAAAACAATAAAAGAAGACTACACAATGCAATGAACAATCCACTGCTAAATAATGGGACCAAATTACTATCTATTGATATTAACTCTGAATGTAAATGGATTAAACTCATCAATCATAGATTAATGGACTGGATCAAAAAACAAAACCCATCTATCTGTTGCCTACTGGAAACACATCTCACAAAGATATGCAGAAACTGAAAGCATCAGGATAGAAAAAAATATTCCAGGCTAATGGAAAGAAAAAACAGAATGGTCTAACCATTTTTAACATCAGACAACATAGACTTTGATGTGAAAAAATATTTTAAATGATGAAAAACGACACCACAAAATGGATCCTTTGACGATCCATTCAGCAAGAAGAGATCACCTTATTAGTGTGTTATGTTTTCTTTCTCAGCTCTGATTTTACTTGGCTTTCCTCTCTTGCTTCTCTTTGCTAGTCTGGCTAAGTTTATTTTGCTCATTTTCTTAAACAATGGCCCTTTCTTATTGCAATTCATACTTTTTTAGCTTCAAATCCATTTACTTTGCTGTGATTTTTATCATTTCTTGTTTCCTGCTTTTAAAATAAGTTTTTGAGATGCATTATTGGAGCTTTTGAGATGCTTCTATTTTTTGTAAGCACCTGATGTTATATATGTCCCTTTCAATACTGTTTTTGCTATATCTCATGGGTTTTGATATTTGTTTTTATTTTTATTTCTTCAAAAACCTTTGTTTTCTCATTGATTTTCTCACTGACACATAGGTCATCCTGTAGCATCTATTTTTTTCATTTCTTCAACAACACATTGGTCATTCAGTAGCATGTTATTCAATATTCCAAATATTCCATTTTTAGAATATTAGAATAGAATATTTAGAATAGAAAAATTCCATTTTTCTGTGTTGTTGATTTTGCTTTATGATTTTTCATTTAAGGGGATATATAGTAACTATGTAATAGAGTCTATCATATCCAGATGTGAGGATACAGGGCAGTGTGCATCTATACTTCTAAATCTAAGATGGACTCCCAATGAAACTGTTAACTATATCTTAACAAGTGGATGCTGGACTCTGCCACTGTCCATACCTACAATGTCAGATACACTTAATAATAGAATTACGGCCTTATGACTGTTCATGAAGGACTATACTATTGTAATAATGTCGGGGAAATCAGTAGTGGGAGAAGGTTTTCGGGAGAAGGAAGAGGAAATTCCAGAGTCCCTTAAATTCTATCATACAATACTTTATTAAAAGATTAAAAACAAGACATGCTTCATTATTCTGATTAGTTTGCCCCCACTTCCTCACCACCAATTTTCCTCCACTTCCCTAAAATCTGGTTTTTATCCCATCATTTCATCAAAACTTGGAAAACTCATCAGTAACTGTGCTTCAAAGTCTGTACTTTAAGTATTGTACTACTACTAAGTCATGAGTTTTTTCTCACATTTCATTCTCCTTGGCTTCTCTATACCATCCTCTGCTTGAAATTTCCTTATTTCTCCACTCTTACAATCATATGTTCTTTAAGGATTTACTTACTTGAAAAGCTGGAGTTAGAGTAAAAGCAGAGGAGA